ACCTGCGGAACGATTATGAACAAGGAGCTATGATTGAAGCAAAAAAGAAAATTGCATCTGAGATAAAAGGAGTTACTAAAATCTGTTTAGCCCTTGAATAAAGCAACCAAGCGTGGTATTTTTTATCCGAGAGCGTTAACTGAACAACGCGGTCTGATAATCATTATTACTCCATTGAAACGCATAAATCAAACAATTATTACGACAGTTTTCGTCCTATTCCCACGTGTAATTTTCTGCTCTAATGAAAACTCATAACTTCTCGTCCATGAAAGGTCCGCAGATAAGGAAGTCAGATTTGAAATCATTTGTTTTGTGCTTTCCAATATAGTACATATACATCTCATCCAAAAAAACTGCTCTCAACATATCAGGTTGTCCGAAAGTTCTGTCGTTTCATTTTTAAAAATTTGTACTTTTCTGCTGTCTGAACGGATTTGCTTCTTTCTAATTCCGTTAAAAAAAGAAATCTTTCCCTTTGTGAAGATATTCCGGGGAGCTTCAACTACATATTCACGCAGAAATAAAATGGAAAAAGAAGGCCACTTGAGCTTGGACCATTTTAAGTTAGGTCGCTAAAAGTCTGGAACCCCTCAAAAAATCTGTAATTTTCAATGTGTAAGTTTTATGACCTATTCTCTGCATCCGAGAAAAATTGAGCTGTTTGGATGTTTTGTGAAAGTTATTCTTCGAGTTCACAATAGAAAACGCCAAATTTGATAATTCGTTACTTTTCACACTGAAAGTTACATTTTTTGTGGGGTTCCAGACTTTTGGCGACCTAACTTAAAATGATCTAAGCTCAAGTGGTCTTATTTTTCCATTTTAATCTCTGCAGTGAATGTATAGTTGAAGCTCGCGAGATACTTCTACAAAGAGGAAGACTTCTTCTTGCTAACGAAATTAAAAAGAAGCCAATCCGTTGAGACAGCAAAAAACTACAAATTTTTAAAAATGAAACGACTGAACTTTCGGGACAACCTAATATTTCCCTTAATATCCTTATGCCATATATTTCTGCTGAAGAAGAAAAGTGAACTGAGAAGGGAAGCGTCCTATTGCCTCACTTTGTCTGACTTATAAAGTGCTCTGATAATTGAGCATAATGGATACCAGGATACCAGTGGCGTACCGAGGGGGGGGGGGCGCGCGCCCCCCCCCCCCGAGAATGGGTCGCGAAATTTTTGAAAGTTACTTATATGGGTTATAAAAATGTGTAAGTGACTTGTTTATTTTTGTAGATAATTAAAATAATTTTTAAAAAATTTAAAAAATTCTAATTAGCCTTGTAAAAAAAATTTTTTCGGGGGCGTGGCTGACGCCACGCCCCCTTTTTCCAGATTTTAGGGGTCAGGGACCCGCAAAAGTTCTTAGAAGCACCCCAAAAATTTTTTCGGAGTGCGTGGCTAACGCCACGCACCTTCTTTAGATAAAAATTTTAGTCGCCCCCCCCCCCCCCGAGCCGAAATCCTGGGTACGCCACTGCAGGATACCGAGGAATCTAAAAGGCAGCAGCTCTTGTTTTTAGAGTCGTTTATCTTCTCATAAATCTCAGAACAGAGGTTCATCGAAGATTTCGAATTTCACTTGTTTTTACTACAACCATGTGAAATAGTGCCGCCATAAATCCTTAGTAAAATTTCACAAGGTTTATATTGAGTATACGGGTTACTGAGAGGCGATCCTCTAAAGGACCGGGCATACTTCACGCGATTTCAGTCGCGACGCGATTTGGCAATATTCCAACCGCCCATAACTCACTGTAAACACATTTTGAATGTACAGAAGATAGGGCATTTATCAATCTACGTAAGTTATACACACTATGCATGTGCAGATTGATAGTGTTGGATCCGAGCACTTTTGGCAAATTGCCAAATCGCGTCGCGACTGAAATCGCGTGAAGTATGCCCGGCCCTAAAGGATCCCCACGCAACACCGTAAAAATTTCAACTCATATGGCAACTTCCTGACATCCATTATGCTCAAACAACAGGGTATGAGAATTTTTGCAAGATAGAAAAGAATAAAGTTATTGATATCAAGAAATCATGACGCTTTCCTTCTCAGATCCCCCTTCCTCCCCAGCGCGGATATAGGGCCGCATGCACCAACATATCCGTGGATGAGATCGCAGCTTAAGAAAGCTTCATATCCAGAAGCTCCAGGTATTTGGATTTCACACTGTCTTCTATCCGCAATTATTCCCACCATCCTTCACTATAAAAATACTGTACAGGGCGAGAAGTTGTACAAACCGCATTTTCCAGCTTTTTGTATGATCCGCTGATGACATTGGCCGCTGACATTTTTTTCCTAAGTCATTTTCTTTCTTCGAATGCAGCAAAAAAGTTCAAAAATTGTACAGATCATTTAACCCAATAGTGTAATCATGTTACAGTTGACAAATGATGTATTGGAGTCCTGAAATTTGCGATGAATCACAAGTCGAAAGTTGGCATTTACTGAAGACTCGATAGTCTAAAAATTCATTTGTTCTTATCAGCAACATGCTTAGCACTGTTGTTTTAGATAATCTTTACAACTTTGGAGGTTTTCTTCAATTTGAAGAAGGAGAAATGAGTTCGAAGAAGACACGGTTGGCCGCCGGAGATCATCAGGGGATCAAACAACAAGCTAGAAAATGCGGCTTGTACAGCTTCTTGCTCCTGTTTAATACGTTCATAGTGAAGGAGATGGTGAGAATACAACATTGTGAAATGAAGATATCTGGAGCTTTAGGATATGAAGCTTACTTTCAAGCTGTGATCGCTTCCCCGGTGGGGATGTTAATGCATGCGGCCCATAGTATCTTTGATTCAACTGGTTTAGCTCCGTCAGGGCAGGCCGCTCGCGACGCACCTGCGTCTCTCGCGCGCGAGTGCTCTCTGATCATTATCTAGCCTTAATTAGGTCACGAAGCCCGCCTTTGCCGAAGCTCAGCCAGTTGAATCATATTATTGTACATACCGGCCTAAGTCCATTCCCAACCTGCTGAGCCACGCATCAAAAGAATTTATGCGCGTTTGTAAGCCCACATATGGCAAACATTTAGTGCCACATGTCAAGAAATAGCTGTTGTGATACACTTATACATGCCCTCGATGAATGTATGCATTCCCCATAGCCAATACACTCAACGTCATGCAAACTACATTCCCCGAAATGGTCCAAAGAAACATACTAACAAGGGAGGTATTATCAACAGCCGTGGCCCTTCGATATGAGGTGCATACCGTTTGAAGAAGCTTTTTAACGCTGATTTCGAATCTGCTTTCCGTTTTTGCGGAGCGCTCTTCTGAAGAAAGTTATGGAAGTCTAAAAATCCTATTTTAGGGCGCCCTCTAAGTTTGAGAGCGGTGCTATGTGCGTTGGCGGTGCAGTGGTGTAACGGTCAGTTGTTGGCATTGAAGGCGAAAGGCCGATAGTTCGAATCCGGTGCAGAGCGAATCACTTTGCACATTGAATGCGAGTTTAAAAACCACTCTAATTCGTCTGCAGTCATTTGAAAACCGCGCAATTCTCATGCTCGCAAGTGCCCATTAAATTGAAGGCAGAAAAGAACACCTTCTTGATTGATGGTAGTGCGCACTCCTTGAGCTATATATTGTAGTGAAATGCTTCAACATATTCATTCCTGTTTTACTGGTAACGAAGAAGTCAGGTAGAGTTTCAGGGCCTTATTACAAGCAGTTATGCCAGGAAACTTTCCCTTAGGTCACATTTGCCAAGCGTATTACAATAAGTGACTGCAGGTGAATTAGAGTGGTTTTTAAACTCACATTCAAAATGCAAAAGGGTTCGCTCTGCGCCAGACTTAAATCAACGACTTTTCCCTTCCAATGCCAACAAACCGTTACACCACTGCACCACCGACGCACATAGCACCGCTCTCAAACTCAAAGAACGCCCCAGAATAGGATATTCAGGCTTCCATAACTCTCTTCAGAAAAGCGCCCGCAGAAACGGAAAGCAGATTTATAATCAGCGTTCGAAGCTGCTTCAGACGATATGCATCTCATATCAAAAGGCCACGGCCATTGAAAGTACTTCCCTCGTAAGTCCGAAAGTTCTGTCCGACTTGCAGATTTTCTGACTAAAAATCTATAACCCTTTTCAAAATCAACATCTTTAAGCACATTAACTTTAATTGGATTGAGCGAGTTTATGTTTATCATTACGCCATGTAAAGAGGGCAAACAAAAGAGAAGAGAAAATTTGGGAATTTTGCAATGTTTCTTTAGATCCGTCTACTTGACGTACTAGTGTTTCCATATAAATATAGGCAGACGTATTTGGTTGCCATCGTTGAGGTGCTGTACTTCAAAGATTCTTTCATGGCTGAAGAGGATTCGAATTATCTTTGCTGCACAGAAATTTGTACGGGCAAATAAAACCCATTATTTGAGCCCTCCTCCGCGCGTAAGTATGCCAACTTTATAATAGCTGATTTTTTTCTTGCTGTGGGGAACGAAAAAAGCTAATTGGCTGTTGATCTCCACTTGTTCTCGCCTTACTCTATCATATGCAGTATTAAATGCACCACCTGTCGTTATACGTAGATTGTTGTTCTTTGTTGAATAACTGAGTTTGTCTTTCACATCTAGAAAAAAATTGGAAAAGTACGACAATTTTTTGTCGGAGAAAAAGTGTGCGCATGTCAGCACCTACATTCTGACTCATTATAAAGTATTACATATTTAATTGAGGAAAAACTGCGTAAATTCTCTCCATAGCAAATTTTCCTTGATCATGCCTGCATTTTGGCAACTTGGCTTCGGGGCTTGGCTATCATCACTGGGAATTTGTTCGTGAAGCATTAGTAAGCTTTAGGAAGCGCAAGACAAGTGCTTACAATGGCATTCATATTCCTGCAACAACTGCAAAACTGTAAGAAAATAGCTGCGTTAGAACAAGGCAATTAAATATTGGACAGAACTTTCGGGACAACCATTGTCTGAATGAATTCACACATTTATATTACAACGTTTCGTTTTTAGGGAAAGCGATTTTGCCGCGGAAGTTTCCATGGCGAACATTTTACAACTAGAGTGTACGAAAACATTACTTTGATCGCACTAAACCAACGAAGGTACGTGTTACACATTTCTATCAACCTCGATGCGCTTATGTGTGGGTTATAATCTTCAGATTATTGAATATAATATAAAAGAGAGCAAAATCTTTTCATGAAGTTCTTGCGTAAGCCATAACAAACGCATTGACATTTCGAGTCCTACACATAACTAGATAGTTCCGTTTTAAAAAAATAGAAGAAGGTTTGTGCTTTAACATAGTCATCTAAAAATTTTCATTGCTAACCTCAAAAACGCATGCTTCCAGAAGCGGCACGCCAATTTCGCAATATGGTGTTCAACACCAAAAAAATCAATTTTCGCTAGCTAACACCGAAAAATCTGAAAATTTAATGCCAGGGTGGTTTACGCATCACTTTAGCAGGCTTTAATCTCGCTTGAAGTAACAGCAAAAAGTTTTGAAAAACGTCACAGAAGATGTTTCTTATCACCACCTCCACAAAAGCAACTTTGGATGTTCGAGGTGGACCTAGTGCTTGCCTAGAACACACTAATTTATCAGTTGCTCCTGCAAAATGGTAATCCACACATTAATTCGTAGCTAACAGACTACTGCTTTGTAAAATATTTTTTTTTGTAGTTTTTAGGGCTGACTAGCCATTGTTGTTGTGTATCTGAGACCAACTTAAGCTCACGAAATTTGAGATGAGTTTTTAAGAGCTTGTTTCTTCAGGGCTGGGCATAAAAAGTTTAGATAGCTACTGAGCGCTAACTTCTATATAAGAAACGCAAATATAGAGTCGAGTAGATTTCGCTTCATATAGTGTGCTTGCACTGCCCGGGGGGGGGATATAGGACTTTAGGTTGCCATTAGGCTCCACCCAGGCGGACAGACAACATGAGGCAATAATGGTGGAAGCGCGTAGTCTGTTGCAAATGCCCGCGTGGGACCCCCTTTCAGCGAATTGATGTCCTATACCCGATTGCAGGCAAAATGCGGTTTAACGCATCAACAAATAACTACGCCTGTGACGCCGGCCGGATTGCGCGCGCAAAATGGCGCATTGCTGGCGTGGCTACTTGTCCATGCGCAAGTTTCACCGCATTTCACCTGCAGCGCAATCACACTATATTAAGCGGAAATTTACTCGACCGTATATAACTTAGGTCTGGCAGGTTACTGTATTTCTTTTAAATCAAGCAAGAACCCTTGGCGATAACCTTATGTATCATAGGGTTTCTTCGAATGCGAACGCACACGAATGCTTACAACCAACTAGAGATGCAAGCTAGCCCTCTATTTATTAGAGTGAACAGTAAGTAATGGGGTACTCAAAGAATAATTGCAATTTTCTCAAACAGGAAGATCAATTTAGGGTTTTAACAGACTTACAAATCAAAACCTTTTGGTTGGGTTCTATAGATTGAAGCCGTCGCATGGAGCTATTTTCACGATTGAAGTCAAAGTTTATCACGTCGAGCATTTAATGTAACAGCAAAAGGTTCCTACAGAACGTCACTTTAGCGCGACGCTTTGCAATAGAAGATAGATATAGCATTGAGTATCAAAAGGCATGTCGTTTACTCTCCCTCTCTTCAAGATAATCGAATAAGCTCAGGCTCAATGGTTTTCTGGTAGATTTGTTTACGCTCTATTCAAGCAAAAACTTACCTCGACTTTTTTCATTTCCAAAAAGCTGTTGGACAAAACATGATTTTTAGCTTTTTTGCGCCATTTATTGCATTATTTCGAATGAGCTGCCTCTCTTATGGAAACGAATGTTTGGATAAATCATTGTAAAAAGCTAAAAAAACCCTTTCGAATGATGCGTCACATGCATAAAGAATTTGGGGTAAGCAGCTCAAATTTGGATGGCGTTTGAAAAGTCTGACTGAATTATTAAAAAACCCATTTGAGGTGTAGGTGAGGGTATTGCAAGGTGCTGCCAGGATAACATGAAATGGTCACTTTATACACAAGTACTCACAAGCATTGCTTATTGTTTATCGTTATTTGAAGGAAAACCTTTGAATTGTGAATGAACCAAGGTGCCTTATTACTTTCAGATCACCCTAATATTCTGTGTCCTCATTGTAGGATCTTTAGGATTCCTAACACTGAATATTATATTAGACGCTAAATAGAGTGTTATCGGCGCCCATTTAGTCTTAATTTCACAGAAGCGAAACTCATGTAAGACAAACACAATTTTCAATAGAAGAAGTTATTATTCTTGTCGCCATTACATCAGCAATGAGCCTTGAATAATGTTAGTATGCAAAAATTATTGTCTTCTTGTTGACTGTGCGATACGGTCGCTGAAACAAAATCTAATTGGGAATTCAAGTACAAAATTTAAGACTGGTTCGCTTCATAATGCTAGCTGATAAGTCAGGCGTTCTAAAACAAACCTATGTTCTTGTGGATGAGGGCTAAACAGTCAAGATTAGTATGCACTTGCCACCCATATTATATGTTCAGCAGACTTCAAAATCTCGCAACGCTGTATCCAATACCACGAACAATAGTGGAGACCAGAGCAAGCGAGAGGGCCACTGCGGCAACCACCACTGAAATAACGGCGACAACAACTGTGAGAAATTCTTCAGTAAAATCTGCAACAAGAAACGCTATTTCAAAAATCACAACAAGGACCACGTTTACAAAAACTACGATAATGCCTATGCGCAAATCACATACCGCATCGACTGCAACCTCGAAGAAGACAACCAAAGGTTTAGCAAGCACAATGGCGACTACGCTTAAAATAACTACGACCACGACTACGCTCGCACCAATTACTACGACTACGTCCACAACTACCAAAACGACGACCAAACCCACAACTACCACACCGACGACTAAGCCGACAACTACCACACCGACGACTAAGCCGACAACTACCACACCGACGACCAAACTCACAACTACCACACCGACGACTAAGCCGACAACTACCATACCAACGACCAAGCCGACGACTACCACACCAACGACTAAGCCGACGACTACCACACCAACGACTAAGCCGACGACTACCACAGCGACGACCAAACCCACAACTACCACAAAGACGACGAAGCCCACAACTACCACAAAGACGACGAAGCTCAGAACAACCAAAAAGGCGACTACGTCTACAAGTACCAGAACGACGACCGCGCCTACGAAAAGCATAACTGTGACAGTAAGGACGGCACGACGGCTTCCTTGGTCCTTCCTTGACTTACTTCTATTTAGAGTCCAAAAATTGACACTTCCATTCTGAAGATTACACCAAGTACAGTCAAGACTGCAAGTAAGCACAGCAATCCACTTTTTGATTCTTTCAAGAACTTATGTCTTGTTGTTCATTGTATACAGTACGCATCGTTCTTCAAGCATTTTTTGAGATAATCTGCATAAAGTAAAGTTTCGACCTCTCTGCCACGACTTTCCTTCCTAATATTAGCCGTTTCTGATAATTACATCGGTCTTCTGATTCAAATTTCAATAGACTGGTCAGATGCTCAGATGGCTATTTTCAACGAGCTGCGTATAAAGACGACTATGAACTCGTTTTTCAATCTTTCATACATCCATGAACAAAGTTATGAGCAAATTTGTATTCTAAATGCATCCTTGGCTCATTCTAAAGTAGGTTGGGTTATTTACTTGTTACTACATTTCCCCTCATCGTCAAGTCAAGCACACATCTGTTTCTTAAGACTTGCGCACTGTCTACCGAAACTATCTGCTATAAAGTCGGTTGTACATAAGAATTGGGATTGACCATTTAGTTGCTGCATTATATAGCTCGCTAAAAACAACCCTCTCGTCTTTAGCCATTATTTTAAGGCAACAAATGAATTTCCCCGCTGCATAGGTAATATGTTTTTTTTTTTTAATTTTTTTTTTAAATTTTATTCTTCCATAACGTATAATTTTTGTTCTACTTTCCGCCTCAATTCAAACTTGACCAGTCGTGCTGTTCACGAGATATATGCCCTGCATTGTGACTTCATTAAGCATTGCAAAGCAACTCAATTTTCCTAAATATTCGAAGCCCATTATAGGTGAGGCAGTAGCGCCAGTTGCACGTGGAAGCACAACCTCAAAGGTTATAACTTTTGCATAAGCACATGCATCTATGTTTGGAATCAAACATTACTTTTAAGGACACTCACACCAAAGATAAGGCAAAAAAGCAAGTTTTTTTTTGAAAAATGCAATTTACCTGTGAAGCTGGGGTTTTCGACAATGCTTTGTTTGATTGCAATCAATTTTTAGGGGCAGTGTGGCAGTATACTTTTTGATACCTGCGGGAGTCATTATTCTTCTTGCTGCGAGCGCTGCAGCGTTTGTATTAGCAAAGCGAAGAAGAAAATCAAAACAAGCCGTCATAAGTGAACCAGAACCAAAATCGGCGTCTAAAGCTCTAAAGCCAAGCGAATCGAAGGAAACTAGGAAAGCTCTGCCGAAAAAGAAGGCATCCGTGCCAAAGAAGCCAACACCTGCCACTAAACAGATGATAAAACAGCCTGCGAAACAACCTGTCAAGAAAGCAAGACAAGCCACTACCGCCAAGCAACCTGCAAAACCAAAGGAACCCACTCCCATTAAAAAGATCATACAGCTTTACGATAAAGGTAGTTCCGAAAGTGAATCAAACAAAGAGTCGACTAATAGTGCTAAAATAATCGTGGCGCCGAATTTGTTGCAGAAGCAGGAAAAACAGAATTCTATGTTCGGAGGCCTTGTTCATCTTTAATTTATTTCAGTGAATTCCAAACGCATTACAGTTATTGTCTAGTCAAAATGCAAATAAAAGTTTGTTCATTACACTTTGTGAGAGTGTTCTATGACAGTTTTGATGTATGCCATAAATAAGTTTCAAAATCTCAAAGTAGTCAATAACAAAATCTGTTGGAGTAGTACAATGAGAAAATTAAGTGCACATAAGGGCTGTGCAAAGTTTGATTATCCGCGCCTTGCTTTGATTACCAACTCGCTCGCCGATTAAAGATATTGGGTCTCGAAGCACTATAAACTTGTCACAGGCTGTAATGAGCGCACCCCCACACTCTGTCTCAATTCCAAGGCCAAAATTAGCACGATGGGAGTAGGCCTCGCTAGGGTTTTGCCTTACGCCTACGACCTTTTTCTCTGCCCTATCTTCAATCCCTCCGCTCTCCGAGTGCGAATATGTAGCGCAAACCCCGAGCGCACCGAGCGCGCAAAAACCTATGCCAAAGGTCCGATCTGATCCCAAGTGGGGCAGAGTGTACGGGTTTCTATAGACTCTTGAATTACCCGGGCGTACACTACAAAATAAAGTCAACTGCACGAAATCGTCCGGGTCACTATAGGTTGCGAGCGTGCCTGCAACGCGGCTGCTGAGTACGGGTGCTACGATGCCTCATGCGCGCGAATGCCAATGTTAGCCCGCAAGAGACACGCTCGCGGAGAACCTCCCCTTCTCCAAGAAGCAAATTCATAACCTACCGTACACCTACCATGTTTCGAGAATTACGTTAAGACGATATACCCAAAGATATGCCTCATTGAGCTGAGTACAACCCTTTTTTTCAGATCCAGAATTTACGCATTCCGAAGGAAAGTTATGGCGATTTTCCAATAATGCGGAATTCCGGGGATGTGCGGAATTCCGAGAATTTCGTGGAACTTCGCGAAATTCCGACATTCACGAGAATTTTGCACGTTCTGAGAGTGGTATTGTATATTTTCTACAAACATTGGTACTCACAAATTTATTAGACCTCCTCTTGCCATGCATTTCGTCTCCTACAATCATGCCTTCTACACTTGAACGCTTCCTAAGAAAATTAAAACCCTTAATATTCGAACCTTTTGATGGAATCTTACAAATTTTGTTCGAAAAATGTTAGAAATTTTCAAAATTAAAAAATATTCAGTTCCGCTTTTTCATATTTTCAATAACTATTTTATCTGCGAACACTTGCCAAACATTTGGAAATGAGCTATTGTCACCCGCTAAGACGACCAACCCATCTTCTGTGACCGAATTGAGACCTACAAGCATAGATTCTTCATGTAAGGTAGTTGAAAAAATAATATGCAAACTCTTTGGTTGGTTTTAGAAGTTCAAAATCATACCGCTGAGCAACACGGATGCAGTACTGGTGCATCCACGGTTACTCAATCAACGTGACTGTGCCCATGACTGGAGCAATGCTGTTCTCAACGAGAAGGAATTCGAATAAAATTTTTTTCTATCAAAAGCTTTCGACCGCATAGACCATGAAAAATGCTGTTCAAACTTGGTCATTATGACATTAGAAGAGATCTTTTGCAATAGTTCAAGTCTTATCTTCACGATAGGAAAATGACTGTTTGCGGGGATCTACTTTCTGAACGTTCCTCAGGCATAAGTGGGCTTCCCCAGGGAGGCGTACTGTCACTTCTCTTGTTCAACTTACACGGCTGACTTACCCAGGGTACTTAAAGATAGTGCTAGGGCAAGAACTCGATTTTTGAGATTTTGTGCTTACCGGGCCTAATCGCTATGCTAATTCCGAAAATCCAACTGGATAGCGCGAAAACGACGAAAAAGTGCTCTAACGCAGAGGTAAAATCAGCATATGGGTCTTCCACCATGTGAATTCATGCTCCCAGCTTCCAGAGCAATCTTTTTGATTTTGATTTCAAGTTAATCATTCGCACTTGACCGGCAGTGGTGTCAAGGCGGCTAACGGATTCGAGAAAATTGCTCCGAAAACTGGGAGCGTCAATTCACAGTGACAAAGACCCCGCCCACTTGCTAATTTTCCTCTCGCGTTAGAGCCCTTTTTCGCTGTTTTGCGTTCTCCAACGTGATTTTCAGATTCAGCAAAGCGATAGGCCCGGTTATGCACAAAATCGCGTTTCTGCCTGGACGCTGTCTTTAAACCCGCCCAGATGTGCACAAAATGATGTATGCATACTATATCGAAATTGTTATGGGTTACCGGCTGGTTCCTACTTCGACTTAACTGGATTCAGTCTCAGTTTTGTATCCTCTCCACATTTGTTCATGTCAATATCTGTTGTATCGCATCCATCATAACTTGAAATGATTCACTCAAATGATGAAGAGCTTTATGACGCTTTTGTATAGTTGCTGACAGTTCCCCATTCATTCGCCTCCCTCCCCTTCTTTCGCGATTTTATTGTGATTATGATTGATTTTGAAACGTAGGTTCCATTTCGCCGTTTTGCCAGCGAATGATTCAGCGATTCCGAAACGTGCTGTCTGGATGGCTGGTTTTTTCATTACAATGAATGGTGATTTTGGAGTTGTTCTGAGCTCGTCCCTTCTCCCCCTTGGCATCGAGTCTTTTAGTGGCTGTGATCGATTTCAAATTTTGACTGGCATTTAGTAGTTACAGAATTACCAAACTTACACAAGTCACGAAAAAAACAGGAATTGTATTTTATATTGGAACCAATATAATCGTGTTTTTTGAAAGGAGGTGGGGAAGGTTTGCTCTTTTCACAACTATGAAACAGTGTATGTAAATAGCAGTGATGGCAGACCCACAGAGCTTTGGCGGAAGGAGCGAAGACTCAACAGAAACCCACGACTGGAACCTTTTGTACCCTTTCAAATTTTCTTCAAGCCTAAAACACCATTATTACTTTGATAACTATGAGGCTTTCGTAAAGGTTTTGTGGCAAAGGCGCGAAGATACTTTCTCAAATTACTGGTTGTATGCGGCGTTTAGGGCAGATTTTGTGGGTCTCTAACGGCTCGAAAGGCGTTAATTTTTAAACTTCGGCTAATTGGCTGTCCATAGGGCAGACCAATCCGCAGTGGATGGTAGGGCAGATTGATGGGAGTTTCTTCTTAAATTATTTGGTTGTTGGGTCGGTCTATGAGCGGCCCATGTTAGTTCTTTTTTATAAAAACGAATTGTATACTCTTAGGGTCATTTTTCCTCAAAATATAGGTTTGCAGGGGTTTGTAAGGCAGTGCGGCCCATAGGGTGGTATTTTTTTTCAAATATCAGTCTGTGGGAGTGGCACATTTTTTGATGTCGGTTTATAGGGGTCTGTAGGGTAGTTACAACTGCTCGATCTATTACGGCACATAGGACAGTTCTATCCTGATAGAGAATTATATCTATGCATGTAAGCGGCCTTGTAGGTCAGCTTTTCTTATAATATCGAATTGTGGAAGCTTACATATCAACATTTTTGCAATAAATACCGGTCTGTAAGCTAAAGGGAGTAGGGCATTTACGCATTATACCGTTCTATGGGAGGCACACAGGGTCCTTTTTGAACATCAAATTGTAGGCGTTTCATATGGCAGTGTTCTCAAAGCATCCTAAAAACGGCCCACGGGGGCTTTTTTCTTTATAATATCAGTCCCATGGGGTACCTTACCCTCAGGTATTGTTTGTAGGCTACTTATAGGGCAGTACTTTCTATTTATGGGCATAGAACTGTAGGCTACTTTCATTAGTTATAACCTCGTAATTTGAGTGACTATTCTTTTGCATCTAAGTGAGTTTGCTTTTACCGGTTGTAAGCGATCCTAGGACCTTAAGGTCGTTAGTCTTTCAATTAAAAATACTTGTTAAATCCGATGTGGTGTCTCATCAACATTGCTCACAGACATTTACTTCTCATTCCTATATTCTTTAACAAGTGTAGTAATGCTCCATCACCGGCATCTGGAGCACACGCAAATCTAACGGTCTCCATGCAATCCATATTGTCCGGTTCTACACCTCCAAAAACGGTAATATTTGTTATCGCTAGATTGCAACCTTTTATCGTAGGCATAAGCGTATAGGGCATACCAACCACCATCGGCCGTGGGTACACCGGGGATTAGGCACGCGCGCCTCGAGCGAAGGAGATTGCACTCCGAGTGCGGAAGCTGATATACATCACGCACACTCACGACTGCGATCAATTTCTTCTGCGGTTTCGGTTGATTTTAGTTCATGAGGAGACGTAGTTTTGAAGGTAAGCTTCGGAACAATAACATTGCATGCTGTACTCTTCTCAAAATGACATTTTTAGTTTATGCTTATGTTTCAGGTGCGGAGATGCAAACGTATATCCATCGCTATCGAAAAAGCAGGGAGGAATCGTTAGTTATATATTGAACTCAGTTGGGGAGACTCTGAAATATTACAGTCATATCTTTGATACAAAAACAACAATTCCTACCTGCTTTTTCGATAGCGATAGGAATAGTTTTAATCTCCGCACGCCTGAAACATAAGCATAAACTAAAAACGTCATTTTGTGAAGAGGACAGCATGCACTGTTATTGTTCCGAAGCTTACCTTCGAAACTACGTCTCCCCAAGAACTAAAATCAACTTTATAGGCAAGGCAAATACCTCGGAGGAGAGCAGACGTATGAGAAAGAAAGAAAAACAACCGAATCTGCAAAAGAAATTGATCGCAGTCGTGAGTGTGCGCAATGTATTAGGTTGGAAACTAAGTTTTGCAACTGGTCTCATAACTTCCCTCTCACTCAACATGGCGCACTCAAATTTAGCCACTGCGTTGGTTAGTACGTAAGCCACAAGCGCAGCCGCTGTCCTACCAAATTCTGACGTCGCAGTGAGGGTTACGGTAGGTGCATGGTATGAAAAGGAAAAATTCAAAGTTTGACGGATTTGGCTGAAACTTGGCATAGGGGTGTTATCCGACATGCTGATCACGAAAACGACAGTGAAATTGCGTGACAAGGGCTTTTTTGTAGGATTACTGTAGGCGTACATTATGG